AAACGAAACAAAACTCTCTCTCTCTCTCTCTCTCTCTCTCTCTCTCTCTCTCTCTCTCTCTCTTTCTCTCTCCCTCTCTCTCTCTCTCTCTTTCTTGTGTTAGCTCTTAGTCTCATTGATTTGGCTACCTTAGGGCTGCGTTCCCCGCGCCCACGCGGTAGACAATTCTGTTTGTATCATGTGTGCCAGTGTTTGTGTGTCTGATGGTGTGTGCGTGTTCCTTGAACCTCCTTCAAATCACATACACACACACAACCATATTACCCATGCAATGTTTTTTTTTATAATTTTAATTACCTATTTTTGTTTCTATTTTTTCCCTCATATTTCAATAAGAATTTGAGGTTGTTGCTCCGACAAACATTGCTTGTTTGCCAACATTACATTTTATTTTATTTTCATATGGTTTTTATTTTATTATTGGGGTAACTTCAGTAGAATCACAAAAACGAGTTATAATTGTATTATGGGCCAAGATACAATTTGCAATTGCACTTCGGCCACTCTAAGCGGCCTGAAAGTTCCTTTATATGCATTACCTGAATTGCAATTCGAAACTTTGTCTTGACCTATAATGCAATTATAACTCATTTTTGCGACTTCCGTGTAATTTTCTCTTTATTATTTTAATTTTTCCCCGTACGCTGTACGTATAAAACATACGTGGCCACGTACAGGGTTCCATACGTAACATATCCATACGTTCTGTATGGAAAGGCCCCAAGTGTACGCCAGAGAATATAGCTTAGTGGGGCGAGTAAGCTTGGCTGATTTAGGTATGTTCCATGCAATACCAGTTTAGGGGGACAATAAGACATGTTTGCTTGGAGTGCATTAATGTTTTGGCATAGCTGACATCCCTCATCTTGCCCTGTTGGAATATTTCGGGAGTGATGCAACATATGGGAATTGCATCGTACTCTGATACTTCCAAAGGACAATCTGCAATTTACAAACGTAATTGGGCGGTTTTGTATATATTGTGAACCTCGGGGTGGTTCGACACATATTATAAACCTAACTGGGCTGGTTCAGTACTTTTTTTGGCATCGTACTCTGATACTTCCAAAAGGACAATCTGCAATTTACAAACGTAATTGGGCGGTTTTGTATATATTGCGAACCTCGGGATGGTTGGATATATCTTATAAACCTAACTGGGCTGGTTCAGTACTTTTTTTGTTTTTTGATAATAAAACAAGCCCGGCAAACGGGCCCAGCGTCCCTCACAAAAGTTGCACGGCTCCACAGGTGAGGAAGGCATCACCGGTCATGTTCCACACCGGAGCCCAACCTATGGCCCAGACCTGGGCCGTCTCGTGGGGTGAGCCTGGGCCCGAATCCCACCTCAGGCGGTGGAGCTGCTTGTTTCTGTTTTTCTTTACGAAATGCATCCTTCCGTTCTGGGGGCTGCAGGCTGGGCCGTTATTGGGCCGAACTGCAGCCCAACAAATCAGTTGGCCCTCCGCAGTTATGACTGGCCTCGCCATCTCCGAGAGACGGATGGCCGCGAAATCAATTTGGCAATCTCTCATGGAGATCCACGAGAACCTATGGTTGCTTCTCCGCTGAAAGTCCCAACGGAGGCAAGTGGTGAATTGCAGGCGGGGGGACGTGTTCATATCCTTCTTGTCTATTTGGCGCCCAACATTTCAAACGCTTCCCCGCGCCCCCAGCTGTGTGTCCTTTTTCAGCAGGCCTTGCCCGCCATCAATTTCGGTTTGCTTTTCGGTGGCACAGAGGAGTTCCTGCCCCGCGCTCGTTGTTTTCAGATCCGCCCGCCACTACCGTCGCTTCCTGTGTTTTCTCCCGCGATCGGTGTGCTTTCCGTCTGGTCTGCGGCCGCCGCGGGCGGAGCGGTGCGGTGTGTTCGGGCGGTGCGCTTCCCGCGGTCACTTATCATATGGTTAACAGTAGTCGGAGTTAGGGTCAGATCCCACTACCCTGGATTATTAATTTTTCACCTTCGATTACGAAGATCAACGGTCCGAAATGAACAATAGGGGCTAGTGGGGTCTGGCGCTTAGCTCTGCGATCACAGCTGTCGATATAATAGCCCGGAGGTGAGGGACGTTTAATTCTGGCCGAGCAAGGCCATAGCCGTGGCGAGGAGAGGGCGACTCTAGAGTCGTAGGGGGAGGGGGGAGGCGGGCGCCGGCGGGAGTGTGTTCTCCCAGAGGAGCGTAGGGTGAGGAGGAGGAGGACGCGAGAGCGCGAGAGGTCGGAGGCAGGCGGGTTATGGGGATCGCCGACGCATGCAGGGCTGTTAATGCCAGCAATGCCATGAATGTGGCAGAAATAGGCAGATTTGCAATCTGCGGGGTGTGTTGGAAATAGTAGATCGGGGGGTTGAGGAGGATGAGGAGGGGCTGTGAACTGAGCAGGCAAGCTGTAGAGTCATGCGTTTATCGACGGCAAGCTGGATTTCTTAGATAGAACATTCCACCAGACATTCCCTGGTGGATTGCCTTTACTGTGGGTGGAAAGAGGCTGGCGGAACCGCTGCCGCCGTGTGCGTGGTGTGGATCTGCCGATCACCTAAGTAAGGGATTTTTTTTTTTTTTTTTTTTCGATAATCGTTAGGAGGAGGAGATCCTGTTTTACTTCAACATCAATCTCTCGAGGGGGTAAGCGGGCAGGTTGGGACGGAGGAGGGGAAAGGAAGTAGTAGTAGTTGTAGCAGGAGGAAGCGGGGAGGAAGGGGGAGGGAGGAGGAGGGAGGAGGAGGGAGGGGGGGAAGCGGGGGGGAAAGGGGAAGCTGGGGCTGTAGTTGTTGCGCGAGGCAGCGGGCGGGATTCGCGATGGCGGCTAGCGGGGCGGACATGGAGATCAAATCTGATGACATCATAGTGGCAGAGGAGGAACCGTCGGTGGATATTATGTTCAAGAAGGTGGGGCCGGATGTGAGAGCAATGGCAAGAGACGAGGAGCAGGGAGAGGGAGGAAACCCGCTGCTTAGAGCTGCCAGTCTACTTGCTGTGTCTAACACCTACGGCTTGGTAGTCTTCGCCGACAGCCATGGTAGGTGTCCACCGAAGACCGCCCCATCAGATCGGGACTGTATAACGGACTTTTACCCTTTTTTTTAATTTTTGTACTGAAAGAAAGGAGCAGCTTTCCAAAACTGTAGTACCAAAAAATAAAATAAAATGTAGTACCTAGCCCAACTCGAGCTGTGCTTAAACACTTCTACTAGGCTCGTGGCATCCCGATCTATTGATGGACGGGCCATAGTAAATTACTAACTAAATGAGTAAATAAATGAAAAAAAAAAAAAAAAAAAAAAAAAAAAAAAAAAAAAAAAAAAAAAAAGCGAACAAACAAACAAATAAATAAATAAATATATAAATAAATAAATAGTTAGATAAATAAGGATGTGACGGCAACGATAGCGGCAACAACGACGAGAAGGAGAAAGAAGAAGAAGAGAGGCCTTAAAAGCTCTAGACCCAAAGCGAGGCCAATGCTACAAATCCATGATCAGATTAGAGACAAGAAGATGATGATTAATATGATTATCATTTCATCGCCTGCTCGGACGTATTTGGTATTTAGTATTTAGTATTTAGTATTTATCGCAACTACGGTAGTATTTAGTATTTACCTCAACTACGGTAGCTGATGATGCGGCGCACGTTCCCCGACGCATAGGCGTCGTCGGGATGCACACCAGTACTCTGCAGGGGGGCAAACCATTCTCCCAGAGGCACTTCTGTTCCCACCCAGTGATGGACACCAATCTTGACCGTTGTTTTGTCAGAATGGGAACAAAAATGTTGAAAGCATCGATAAGTAGGCTGCAGATGCTGGTTTTGAAGATCGTTCTCGAGTTTTGGTCCTTGTGATGTTAATCGAATCTTGCCTCCTGTGATAATACTAGGTAGTGATCTGAACTCCAACAAAATCAATGGTGTTTGATCCGTCATCAGTACGAACCAGTTAAAGCTTGCTGCCATAACAGTCACCAAACTCCTCCATGATCTGCATCGCTTCCTGTACAGATCCTTCCTAGAAGAAGAAGAAGAAGAATAGTGAAAACAGAAGAAGAAGAAGAAGAATAGTGAAAACAGAAGAAGAAGAAGAAGAAGAATAGTGAAAACAGAAGAAGAAGAAGAAGAAGAAGAATTGAATTGAATTGAAACAGCGAGGCCAATCGCTATGCGTCCATGTCTCAATGATGTCCATTGAAGCACCTACACGGACTGTCTGGTCAACGCGCACATTCCCCGACGCGTTTCGCCTGGCTGCGCACCAGGACTTATCAAGGGGCACCCACACTCCCGCATCCACCGTAGCACTCCACCCTGAACAAAGAGGACGTTTCTGGAAAGAAGAAGAAGAAGAAGAAGATTAGTGATAAACAGAGGCCATAGACTGTGATTCGTGCATGCTTCGACAGAAAATTCCATGCTCAACGGCATGCACTCAGCTCAGAAGAAACGCGCTCATTGCCCTATGCACGTTTCAGCCAGGAAGCTCACCTGGTGGCACTCATCAGGGCCCTTCTCGCCGGATCCGCCTTACGGCACCCACCTCTACTTGTACCCTGCCAACTCCACTGGAAGCAGATTGACTAAACTACCTTTTTGAGAGCGAAGGCCTTTTTTGAGAGATGTCCTCATCTCAGTTCTGAATTACTACCTTGGGCTGGTCAGTTCGATGATGACAACGCAAGGTCTTCGCTCTCAAGAAGAAAAAGAGAAAATGAAGTGAAAACAGTGGCCGCAGACTGTTTCTCGCACTCATCAACGTATAGGCATGCCTGGCCGAAACGCGTCAAGGAATATGCGCGTTTCCCAGGAGGCATGCCTATATACGTTGACGAGTGCGAGAAAGTCTGCGGGCACTGTTTTCCCAGGAGGCATGCCTATACGTTGATGAGTGCGAGAAAAAGAATAGTGAAAAAAAAAAGGAAAACAGTGGCCGCATACTATTTCTCGTTTCAAGAAATACAAGGAGTAGAAACGCGCATATTCCTTGACACTTTTCTGCCAGGCTGCGGTCCTGGGACTCCTCAGGGGTCTTCTCCCCAGATCCGCCTTGGCGCACCACCAACTTTCCAGACCATCTAAGAATAAATATCTTTCCTGGTCTGGAAAGGCGAAAGAATAAATATCAAAGAGGAAATATCTTTCCTGGTCCCAGGTCAAAGAGGAAAGGCGAAAGAATAGTGAAAACAGAAGCAGAAGTATATGAATGAACGAGAAGACCAAATTTTTGTTAGTTAATGGCAAGAGAAAAGAAAAAAGTGTTTTGAGTGGATACAAGCAAGTAAGACTGAATCTGCGGACGAGTATTTAGAAAGGATATGAATTTTGGCCGACCATACTGAAGTCAGTGAATTTTTCTGAAAAGGTGAAGTGAGAGGGCAAGATCGGAAAACGTGAATTATCGTGGTCCGTCTGAATGTACTTGATCAACACAGCTGTGTCCAGATCACGCACCCGCCATCTTTCACGTGAAGGCACATTCCAGTTCTTTCCCTCTTCACAGATGAAAGGGAAAAAGAAAAGCAAAGACAAAGAAAACTCGCTTTCGTTTTTCGTTTCTTTTTTCTTTTCCCTAATAAAAAATTATATAATCAAATCAAATTATATAAATAAAATGAGAGATTGTCGGTGCCTCCCACTTCCATTTTGCTCTCCTCTTTCCTCTGCTCACCATGGGTGTGAAGAGAGAGAGAGAGAGAGAGAGAGAGAGAGAGAGAGAGAGAGAGAGAGAGAGACGGTCGCGTAAGCGATCTACCGTCTTCATTCTTCATTCAAATAGAACGCCCGGTCAGAATAGGTGTATCTGGACCGAAAGTTGGCCTTGATACAGCTATTATAACCGGGCGTTCTATTCGGGTGAAGACGATAGATCTTTCCTCTCGATCTTGTGTCTTTTTCTTTCTTCCTTTTTCCCTTCCTTCCTTCCTTCCTGGCGTTCTCTGCTGCGCCTCTCCTTTGGTTTGGGTTACCTAAGACGGAAAGAGAGGACGGTGAAAATCTGTTATCGTGTCTTATATTCTCTTTTATCTCATTACTTTTGTTGGCGCGCTTTACTTACCGCCTGGCACCTGATTGCGCCCTACTGATACGAAATGCGCGACGCTAAGCAGACGGGCGTTAACGATGAAATGAAGAATATTATATTTTGATTAATCGTACCAAATCATTGAATGGATGAAATGGGATATTGATTGATGGCTTGAGAGGTATACAGTCGAGGGCTGTCTCTTGTTTTTTTTATTTTATTTTATTTTATAGTTGCTTACCTAATCTCTTGAAAGGGAAAAGAATGGGAAAGGAAAAATGGCATGCCGTGTGCGTGTACGGAAGGAAATGGCGCTCGTGTGAAAGGGAGCGCAGTACTCACGCAATCGCGCTCGCTGGCCCGTAGTATGTGCACCCTCTCTGTGTGTGTGTGTGTGTGTGTGTGTGTGTGTGTGTGTGTGTGNAGAGAGAGAGAGAGAGAGAGAGAGAGAGAGAGAATTGGGGATGAATGGGAGAAGGCGAGAGGAAGGAGTGCAATGAGATTACCCTGATGGACCGCGTTCCTGGCTAGATGCAGTCCTAATGACCAGGTGCTGCAACGAGATTAGGGGTGGAGGAAGGAGAAAGCGGGAAGCGTATAGAGAGATTTGGAGGGATGGACGGGAAAGAGAGGGATGAAGGAGGGTAGAGACCTAAAGGCGGGAATAAAGCCGGAAATTGGCGGGAACAAATTTTGTAAACGAGGCATACTACTGCCAGAATGGGGAATGTATATATTTTTTCTGGAATGTAGAAAAAGGGATTTACGATGAGAAGAAGGTCGACAGGAGTTTGTCTGTGTGTGTGTGTGTGTGTGAGAAAACATGGGTGTTTGTGCTTGAAGGTGTTTTTTTCCCCGGGGGTGTGCGTGTGTGTGTAGGATCGCGCGCGCTCTTCTGCGTGCGCTATATACGTGTGTATGTTTGTGTGTGCGTTTGTGTTTGTGTGCGTTTGTGTTTGTGTTTGTGTGTTTGTGTGTGTGTGTGTGTGTGTGTGTGTGTGTGTGTGTGTGTGAGAGAGAGAGAGAGAGAGAGAGAGAGAGAGGTTGCTGAAGAACAGCAAATAGGATGATAGTTCTAGGCACGGAAATGGACGCAAGGAAAGACGGTAAAACGGATGATCTTTTTATATCAAGCACGACTGGGGTTCTGGGAGATTAAAAAATTGCAGAAATAGTAAAAGAAAAGGCCTGTATTTTCAGTAAATTACTAAATTCGCAACAACTGAAAAATTTGCAGTAATCGAAAAAAGAATAGGGAAAGAAAGTTGAAGCATGGGGTGGTGGTAGAACTTGGAGGAAGAAGTAAAGGGGGTCCGTCCGTTAGTCGCTCACTCCACAACCAACCAATCAAATCTATGAAACAATCAATCAATTAATCAATCGATGCATCAATCTGTCAACGAATCAATCAATCAATCAACCAATCATTCTGTGGAGAAGCAGAGCAGCAGAGACAAAAGAAAGGAAAAAAAAGGGGATCTGTCAATGAATCAATCAATCGATCCATCAATCTGTCAATGAATCAATCAATCGATCCATCAATCTGTCAATGAAACAATCAATCAATCAACCAATCATTCTGTAGAGAAGCAGAGCAGCAGAGACAAAAGAAAGGGAAAAAAAAGGGAAAAAGGCACGAGTACCTGGGTTCGTTATTTTTTCGCAGTTTTCAATTTACGTCTGATTGCGTTTAGAACGGGTTTGAGAGGAAGGGGTCAAACCCATTGTATTGTTTATTTTTTTTTAACTCGTAAAATAGGCATATTCAAACAGAAACACGAAGTATTATGCGAATACACAATACAACGAGACAGCACAAGGCCGTAAGCAATCTCAATTCACATAGGGTTGAAGAACTTTCAGCTCAGCGTCTATCTTATGGAAGAGTAAAGGGCATTTTGTACGATCGAGCTAACGGCAGGCCGGTGGTTCCCCCCGAGCGGCATTGAGCAAAGACTGGTGATGTTTGTAGGGGTAGGGGACCGGAGAGGGTAGGTAGGCACAGCAACTGGGCTCATCGAAGAAGCTTGGTCCTAATGCTACCGGCTGACCCCTCTAGCCGGTATCGTCCTCGGGCTGAAGCAGGTATCGCACCGGCTGGTGGTGCAGCTCCCGCATGTTCCCTCATTCAACATGGATGTGGCTGCTACGGGGTTCCCCGTAATAATAATAATAATAATGCTAATAATAATGCTAATAATGATGATAATAATATATACTTACTATAATGATAGTAAAAAAAGGCCTGAAAGGCCGTCCTGTCCAGATTTGACAGGTGATTGAATGGGTTGGGCTTAAAAAGAATTAGCCTTAAAAAAAAAAAAAAAAAAAAAAAAAAAAAAAAAAAAAAAAAAAAAAAAAAAGGAAAAGGAAATCCATTATTGATGTTTTCAAGGTGATGTCAACACATCGTTTTTTATGATTATTTATTGATGTTTTTTTTTTAACTTTTTTTAAAATAGTAATAATAAGGTAAAATCCTCTCGCTTCCCCTTAAAAAAAATAAATAATAATTAAAAAAAATCCTCTCGCTTCCTGACGTTTTGTCTTACGGTGGTCAGGGTTCTCTCCTTCCTATAACCTTTGGGTGGGTACGAACTCACTACCCCGACCGGATTTGAACTCGCGACCTCTGACTTGGTTACATTGTGATTCCAACTGCAACTCCCCACGCGCGTCATCTTTGAGTTTCTATTTCAATTTCATTTTTAACTTCGGTTTCCTGCCGCTGATTGCAATCTACAACTGCAACTGGATCCGAGGTTTGAACTCTTGACCAGGCAACTAATGATTACCTGCTAAGTCACTGTGTATGCGACTGACTCAGCTTTGAAGTCTGGCAGCCAACCCATGACTGGGTTGGGGGTTGGTTGCAAGTGTTCTCAACTCAGCTAACCGCTCCGCTAACCATGAATGACTGACTGGGTTCGACCTAGTAACCTGTGATGGGGTCTGTCTCAGAAGTGGGTAATCACTAGAATGATGTGTCTGACTCTTTGTCTTTCTTGCACACATCATTAATACGGCTCGTACCTAAGTTCTTACAGGTGACTGTAGTGAATATGGTGAAGGCATAGTCTTACCCCATCAGTAATGGTGGAAGGTCGAGGTTCCAAGGGTTCCGTTGTTCGCCGATGAAAGTGGTAAACTCATTGCCGTGTCAGACGAGTAATCTCCGACCTTATTTTCCGCTGAGTTGTAAATCAGCGGAGCAAAAGTGAAGTGAAGAGTGAGGGAAAAAAAAAGGAAAAAAAAAAGTGAAGAGTGTGTGGCTGTCCTTTTCTTTTTCTTCAGAAACCCTGCTACCTGGCTGCTAAACGACACTTACACTAGGAGGACTTTTCTGGACTGAATCTGGTCGTTGCTGCGTCCAGGGAAGTGCAAGTGTGAATATGCCCTTAGGTGAACACTTCTGTGCCATGTGTAAGTTGCCCGTCGTAGCAAGATATGGCCGTCCGTTTGTTTCGTTTTTTTCCCTCTTTTTTTCTTCTTCTCTCTTTTAGTCTCCTCTCCGCCCCTTCCACGCGGCCAATCAACAGGGCCCTCTTTTCTTTTGGGGCCTTTAACTTCAGAAAAGGCTTCTTGATTTGACAGTAGTAAAGCCGTCCTCTTGATTGCGTTAATGGAGGTTTTTGGGGAAAGGAAAAAAAGGAGAAGGGAAGATGAAGGATCCGGGGATGTCCTTTTACCGGCAAGGAGAGGGAGACCACGGAAGAACTGAAAAATCTACTTTG